AAGGAAAGGTATTATAAATGACCTTTTGTACATTTATGATTTGTAAATATTACCATAAATAAAAACAGCAATATAATAAAAAGTTATTATAAGTATTTGTTCTTTTTCATTTAGTTTTGAATTTATTATTGTTCTTATACAAGACAGATCCCAAAAAAAGTACAGAAATAGGAAATGATGTTAATATAATATTATATGTTCTAAACAAAGATGACTCTTAAATATATTAATTTATATAAAGTGAATCAAGTCTGTTAATAAACCCAGAAACTTGTATTGGCTAGAAGATTTAACATTTGGGCTAGATCTTTGAAAATTCTTATTGTAAACGTTTTTAATCTGAAACGGTCTACGGAAGAAAAAGTTTGGTGACCATTGCACTAATGCAAGTTTCTTAATAATGACTTAAATCATTATACAAATAGTCATATCCTGATGAGTCTAATATCTAGAGAAAAAACATCCACTTGCACTTCATAATCATCAGCAAAGAAAAATACTAGAAAAGCAAAATAAAGATAAATTATTTAAAATGTATATTCTATTGCAATATTGCATCAACAATATATATATACACATCATGTTAACAAAAATTAACTGATTTTTTTCAAATCAAATGATTGTATACTATATCTACTATATACACCGAAACAAATACACAAGTTCTAACCAGTTTTCGAAATATTAAATATTTTAGAATCAACATAATTATATATTTAACAAGTAAGTAAAATAATCTACTATTATTTATACACCTATAATAATAATTTATTGGCCAAACATCGATACATAAGAAGAAGAGAAAAAAAGTACAATTTATACATAAATAAATTTTAACATANNNNAAGGGCTAACGACCGAGGTCTTTCCGCCCAAATTTATACACCTAATTAATTGATTTTTTTAAATCTCTCAAAATACAATCTTGGATTCATTGATTTTAATTGTATGATTTATGTAATATGTAGGTTTCTGATATTCTTTATATTTAAAAAATTCAATCATTACTGATGCAATTAATGAACAACTTTCATTTTGAAGTATTATCTTCAAAAATGACATTTCTCCACGATGGATAAACTTAACAGCCTTGGAGACAAATAGCTAATAGAAAAAAGTTGCTTATCAAAAGACATTCACACTCACAAAACCAATTGTGTATAAATAGTGATCATCTCCGAAAAGTAATCATTACACAGTTAATCTCCACATCAAGATGAAATCTGTACGTATAAACAAGCAAATAACTGAATATCTATTAATAATAATTATTGATTTGATTAGGTATTCGTTGCTCTTGCCTTCTTGGCCATTGCCGCTGCTGCTGAAGATGTTGTCCAAATCCTCAGGCAAGTAGCTGATGTTGGTTTCGATGGAACTTACAAACACGCTTTTGAAACCTCCGACGGAATCGTCGTCGAAGAACACGGAGTCCTGAAGAACGCCGGATCCGAAAACGCTGCTGTAGAAGCTACTGGTTCTTACGAATTCACCGCTCCAGACGGAATTAAATACGCTCTTCATTACGTTGCTGATGAGAACGGTTTCCAACCACAAGCCGATTTCTTACCAACACCACCACCAGTCCCACCAATGATCCAAAGGGCTCTTGACTACATTGCATCTCATCCACAACCACTTCCACAAGGAAAGGTATTATAAATGA